TTTTTTAACCAGAACACTGGCAGCCCAATGTCCAGCGGCCTAGCTCAGTTGGTAAGGCACGCAAGTGGAATTCAGGAGGTCTTGGGTTCAATCCCCATTGGCCTCATGTACCTTCCTGGGCATGCTTGGCGCCCTCCACCTAGAGATAGCCCGTTGGTCCCCCCAATTGGCATTAAAAAGCAGTCTCTGCTGATGTTCATAGGGGGAGGGGTAATGGGGGAGGCACAGCGACTGGCCGCTCAGATGATGCTCAGTCCCTCTGCTACCGGCTGTCCCCTGGCCTGTGTCCCCCATTGGGGGTTCCCTGAAGGCAATCAGGGCCACCCTGGGCTGAAAAGGCCACCAAATGTCAGATTAGACACAATATTGAATTTACCTGGTCTGGTTAACCCGATGATAATACCTCAAGGCCATCGCCCTTTTTTGAAAAAAAAAAAAAAAAAGAATGTCGAATAAAAGTGCAATTTCGGGAAAAAATAAAATAAAGGCACTCCGGCCTGGCTGCTTCAGTCACACCAGGCATGGTCCCACTAGCAACCGGATAGGATAGAAAAGAGTTTGTGTGGCAGTTGAGCGACCCAAATCCTGCCGTGCAGTAGCCGTGATCCCACGGTCAGTGTTTTACATGTATTACCCGAAAAAGTAAGGAGATCTTGGTTCCCCTCCTCCTCTCCTTAACACTGGGCATGCCGGTGCAAAGGAAGCTTCCCGCAAAATCTTTTCAATCCGTAGGGGGCATGGCCAACCCCCCCAAAAAATGGGTCGGCCATAGGCCCACTGGATAGAAGATTTTCAGTATTTTGCTTGCTGTTGTGCAATCATCTCATTGCCCTCCTTCAATCACGGAGTATATGGAGGGTGTCAAGATCACTGCTGACAGAAGTCGAGTTTATTCCAGAAAATGTGGCAGTTACTTTCTGCACTGTTGTTGCAACCACCACCATCAGTGGCATCAGATCATTTGTGATCTGATGGCTGGGAAGCACTCTGCCGTGATTTCAGGTGGGAGGTCTCTGTTTCTTTTTTTTTTTTTTGCCTTCCTCCTGTTTTCTCACCCCAGAAATTCGTAATGAACCTGTCATCCGGCTGCCACTCCGTGTCACACTGGATCGGCCAAACTCCTATCCGACTGCTAATGGGACCACACCCATCGTGAATCATCTCCTCCTGCCAGTGGGTGTTGTGTTTCTTTTTATTTTTATTTTTTCAACCAGTTATTCTGCTATTCTTTTTTTTACAACGGAACAATGTCTTTATAAAAGCCGGGAACCGGGCCCGACGTCCCTTACAAATTAGGTGGGGCCCTCAGTGGGCAAGGCATCATTGGCCAAACACGTAGAGGACACCACTAGATTTAACCCCACAGCCAACCCCACAGCCCCAGCAACTCGAAAAGTCAACGAAAATTATCATCACAATCTAAATTATCCCTAAGAAATGAAAATACTAGGAAAATGTAAAGCTCGTCACTAAAAACGTAATCGCAATAGTCATGTCAACCCTAAGTGACCTAAATTCCACTGGAAAAAACGAATGAGAACCACAAATAAGAAACGATCCATCAGCCCTGCGTGATCTTGTCCACCACTCATCCGGAGTTATTACCAAGCCCTGCCAATCCGCCCTACCACCCGCGCGGCAGGGGCATGTGCCCTCAGGCCCCAACTGCTGACAGAGACCCTGCAAACCCAAACACCTCCTCGTGATTCAAAGCGGATAGCACCTCCCCACGCTCTTCTTTACAAAAACACCAACTCCCACCATGATGCTGTTTTCACTAACCAGGGGATTACCCTACCTCCCGCGCAGCAGGGGCTAAAATGTCCTGCAAAACCCACCCGCCTCCTCGCGATTTACGGTAAGCCTCTCCCTCAATCTGCATATACCCCCTACGGATGCTTCCCCTTCCCCCATGACGAAGCCCCTGTGGAGCAATGCTCACTACTTCTCCTTAAGAATTCAGATGACAGCAAACAGCAGCCGATCAGGATGAAATGAATATCTGACCCATATTCAACGTCTCAGCGGATACCCTACCTCCCGCACGGCAGGGGTCAAAGACCCCGCAAACCCACCAGCCTCCTCGCTATTTAGGGAAAACCACTTCCACTAACCTGCACCTTCTCACAAGGAAACCCCACTGCCCACCATAGTGACATTTCTACAGAGCGGCACTCTCTTTCACTCCATCGCATGCAAAATGCTGCACAATCGGAACAAATTACTACAACTATTACCCAGACAGTGAAGCAGAAACCAAATCCTATCACAAAAAGATGGAAATCAAACCTACGACCCAAATATGTAACTCTCTCTCTCTCTCTCTCTCTCTCTCTCTCTCTCTAACCCTAACATGGGCCACGACATGTGAGCACGCCCAATCCTTGAAGTCAATGTGTGCTCCTGCTGGAGATCGTATGCGACCCTCCTGTGTCCTCATGTGTGCTTTCAAAAAAATGAAAAAAAAAGAACGTCCAGACATTAAAAAATAGCTTTCTCCATTTCGAAGGAATTAAAAAATGCTTGAAAAGCTGTCACACGGTTGAGCTAGCTCGACTCAACGGGACATGGCCCCAGGCCTCCAGTTCGACAGGATTCTCATTTTTTTCACTCTCCACCCATGGCCGATGGCGAGTAGTGCAACCAGGCCCTCAAAAGGTCTTTCGAATGGGCAACCTCTTCCTGCATGTCACTACGGCTTTGGTCTTGTGGAGAGGGCACTCCCAAAACGGGCTATTAGCAAAAAACGAAAAAAAAAAAAACAGATTACAATGTCCGTGGCCAAGTGGGGGGTTTCTTTCGACGAGTAGCCTTTCGAATCAAGTCTGACATTTTTCGGAAAATGCCTTCAGTCGACTCGAAAGGCTGTGCCCGTAGAGAGTGAACGTTTAGAGAGAGCAGTGTGGCGGCACACTGCCTCGCGTCGTTTTCGGGGCAATAAGGTAGCAACCAGCAAGCCGCTGTTTGCCGGTCACTCCTTGTCTGCGACCGCCTGGTCCACTCGTTCATCTGCTAGCCACGGCCCGATGCCCGAATCAGGCAATCTCTCTCTCTCTCTCTCTCTCTCTCTCTCTCTCTCTCTCTCTCTCT